GAGCACAGAAGAGTTAAGCTGATTGCATTTTTACAGTCTGTATATTCCTCTGCTTATTGTCTGTGTCCTGCTGTTGGAAAAACAGGTTAGTTGCATAGTAAATCTCTCTAATCAACACAAGAGAAGAACAAAAAGAACAAACACCCTCATTTGTTATAGCTACTTCAGAAGCGTGGTCATTTGAAGGATGTATTCTGGGAGATCTGTCTCTCTTCTTCAGAAAGGCTTGTTAATATGGGCATGACTAACCAGGCATCTCAGGAGAGGACAAAGGCACACTCATTAAAATTAGCTGAAAAAACAACCCACATAACAGATATCTATCGTAATGATACTTCTGTTGTCTCTCACTGTAATGTCTAAGCAGTATGTTCCATAAAGCACATAAGGCCCAACGTGTGTAGCTAACAGAAAGGGACTGGTTTCTGAGTTCGGACGCTCATTCTGTACCTGTTTGCATTCGGGTCTGATGTATTCCATTCCCTTTACATGCTTCTCCTTCCCTTCCCTCCGAATTAAAGCTCATCTCTGTTTGGAGCCATCCCCAGTCAGACCTTTTCCTTGCTGTGAGTAACTTAGATATGCATGCTGCAGTGGATATATAAAAATATTGCTGGATGACAAGCCGTAAATAACATGTTTACTGACTCCTGGTGAGATACCACTGCAGTGTTTAATGCATTTATTAACCATGTAGTGCTGTGATTTGTAGAAGCTGGATGCATAATTGCAAGATAGCATTTCTGTCTGCAAAGGATGGAGATAGAAGGATTTAGGGGATGGGAAGCAGAGTTTTACTAGGTTTGGGAGGATCTTATGATGGTTATTAGGTGCAGGACAAGAGAAGACTGGGTTAGGGTGTGTCTGAGCAAGGACATATGACTGAACTCATCTAGGAGCCGTTGAGATTAGAAGGAAACATGGAGGTCCACAGAGTCCTGTGTCCGGAGGAGAAATACCTCTATAAGCAATATTCCTTTCTCCTTTCAGAAAACCACTAGCTCCTCTGCTGGCCCTGATTCTCCTTTCTTTCTGGGAAAGAAATAAGTAATATTCTGCTTCTGATTATGAGAATATTTTTCTTTTCTGGACATGCAGTTGGTTTCTCTACCAGCCCTTGACTAAGTCCAACACTTTAGTTCAAATATTAAAAGCTAAAGGTTGCAAAGACCAAAACAAGGCTTGTGTGACTAACGTACGGGATACTGAAGAGCTCATCAGGAGGTGCATGAATATGATTATCTCTAAATATCATCTGTTGCTTGTGCTACCACAGTAATAAGATTCTCTGTAAAAGCAGATGTTCATTTTTACGGAATATAAAAGCTTAAGTGAGTGCAAGGTTGTTGGCAGTATGGGGGCAGCTTCATCAGAGTAGCCCACATTACTGAATTATAGTTCCCTGCAAAGCCGGGGTGAGTCTCAACCCGTCTTACATAACTTTGTTTTACAGTCAGAGGCATGTCACAGCTGAGTGTATAAGTCATTAGCAAATGCTATTTTACCTCAGTAGAAAAGATCTCATACCTCTTTCCATATGTTTAACCAGTTATTTTAAGCTGCTTTTCTTTCACTGTTTTTTTTATTATTATTTTTATCAGCCCAGCCCTGCTTGTGTTTTGTTTAATGACAAAATTCCCATAGATCTTTTTGTCACCAGATACGAGCTTTATATTAAAATTCAAAAAAGTATAAGTTCAAATACAGACTTATTAGCCATTTGTGTGTGCTATTTTACTCCCGTGGAATTAGGTACTTCCAGCAAATTTGAAGGTACCTTCTTGCCTGTATGTTAGGCACGTAGGAGACATGAGATGGGGGTTGGCAGTGAATCTTTGGCATCTTGCATAACGAACAGCTCTTATTTCCCAAATTTGTTGATGGCATAGATATTCCCTGTCAGAATTCTTTGCAGCTGTACGTGATGGGCACACATTTCTATTGTTTAATTTTTTAGGATAATGGAAGGAGTTGTAAGGTAAATATCTAATGGCTGAGGATACCCTTCATAATTCAAATGCATGTCTCCCAGTCTGGTTGTATTTCCACCAAGGCTATCAGCAGAACCTCCAAGCCCTGTTTTTTTATAAGGCGTTCACTCACTGTAGCACAAATACATCGGTTCTGCTACACGTGGAGTCCTTTCTGCTCAAGAGTAGGGCAGGAAGAATTTTCCCCTTAGGTTGTAATTACAGGATATACACTTTCTATAGCACTCTCTTCAACACATAGGTGTTTTTTTTCCCCATTACTTGTGATTTAGTGATGCACTGTTGTATTATAGTAGTGCAGCCTATGCCAGCATTTCCATTATAACCTGTTTTTACAGGTTTATAACTCAACAGTAAAAACGTACTCTTCCAATTTGAAACTTGGCATATAATGTCTCATCTCATCCTCAGAATGATAGTTTTTTCTTTCCCTCTGACATTCCCCCCCCAAAAAAAAAGAGGTTGCATTTTTGCTGTATTTTTAAATGGAAGATATTGTCCTTTCTGTTTTGATAAGAGAAAAGCCTGCCTGTTTATTAAAATTACTTTTCAATTCTAAGAAAGGAGGACTTTATAATAGAGGATGCATGTGAATAAGTGTTGTTGATGTTAGTCTGACTACATTAAGTATATGGATACCGAGAGGTATTACCTTCCAAATGAAAGCTAGGCAATAGTGATCAAAATTATTGAAAAGCTTTTTTTATGTTGATTTTGTTTCTGTTGATTTTACCCTTAAAATAGTGTTCTCAAAGGTAAATATGTTTTAGCTGTTGCACTCTATCAGGCTGAATGAAGTAAAGGAAGACTGCATATAGACAAAATAATTATATTTTTCTCTGTTCTCATTTGAGAAACACAGTACAGAAAGAACATAAATTCTAACTTTGGTGTTGAGACCAGCTACCAAGAGTAGACTTATAGTTAGCACAGTGTTATGAATCCAAAGCAGGTATAAGCAGCAAAGCACAATGTTTCCAATAGACAGATGCTTGTGTAGACTAGGAAATTTAACACTGAATGACAAACTAAGAAATAACAAGCTTGTACGGTCCTTACAGTTTACACTGTCAAGATCTGAACCTCTGAACCTGAGGCCTCTGAAGCCTCACATTCCAATTCAATGTAGTATGGGTGTTTAGGATATAAGAAAATCAGGATTGAAATTCAGTTTCTCCTTCTTTATCCATCTCCTTGGAGCCAACAATTTAGGAGTTGAAATCTACCCACTTGCCATTAAAGGAAGTTTCCTAACCTCTGTGAATACCACCACCACTGCAAACACGGCAGGAAGGCTGCACTGTGTTGCTTCTTGTAGCAAATTTACCTCCAGACATTTCTTTTTCCATTTAGGTAGTTAAATTTATGCTTACCATAACCACTTTAATAGTACTAATTAGAAGAAAGGGTATGTAAGAGAGAGATTTCATGGAGGCTGTTTATTAATTAATTGAGCTATTATTTTGTCATATATTTGAAAACTATCAACATATATACAGTATGCATTCTTACTATAGCTAAACTGTCTTCCTCTTAAATCCCAGCTGTTTCAGTTTTTCAGTTGTCTCTAATATATCTATTTATAAATATAGAAGTATCATGAAAAGCAGGGAATGTGCTTCCTAATGAGAAGTTCAGTTCCTTCATTTGGATTCTAAAATCAGAAATTAGGTCAAAGAATATTTTATATCCGTAGGCAGCACCAATGGCTCTCAGATATAAAATAAAACAGCTGTATGTGGAACAGAATTTTTTGAGAGTATAAAATCAGAATGCTCAGCATTTCCTCGCATCAGCTTCAGTCCAGTCCATCTCTGCCAAAACCAGTGGGATTCTGCAGTGTAAAATGAATGCAACACACTGAGATTCAGATCCTCATTTTTTGCAGGAGATAAATTGCAAGTCCAACAAAACTTCCAGGAAGTATCAGACATGCTCAGTGCAGTCAGTAGTTTCGGTGTGTAAATCCAATTCTTTGTTATAAGACTTGATTGTACATTTAACATTGGTAGCTCCTATAAAAGAGTGCTGTTTATGTTTCTGGAATATACAAAGAAAGAAATGATATTGAGAGTCACTGAAGTACTTAAATCAACCACGGCACCATTTATTGAAAATATCTTCAGCACCATGGGGATTGCTATTGCTGTTATAGAAAAGCAGAAAACTCCCAGCCCAGTCATGTTCACTTGAGCAATGGAAATATTAAACAGCTTATGGTGCTAGACAGAGTGCACACTATTGCTTTCATTTTGTATGATGCTGGCACCAGAAATGTTTCTTACTTGAGTCAGTGTGGAGAGCACACAGTAATAGGAACAGACGGATGCTCATCATAAGACATGGCTGAAGATATAACAGATTCATTCTTTGATCATCTAAAATATTCCTGCATTTAATAATATTCCATGTATAATAATCATTGAACGCAATGTAAACAAACAGCTTACTTTAAGTTACAGGTATATATTTTAAAAGACATTAAATGTTCCTTTTGTAACTTTCTAGAAGAGACTGTGGCAGCCATGCAATGTATTAAAATTACATTTATATTTTCATAGTAATACATGGAGAAATTGCAAGAATCATTAAGGATAAAATACTCCTGTGTTGTATATTTTCCTAAAACTGAGGCATATGATAGATTTTTTGTTCATATGCAGTGGTATTATGGTAATTATTAACTGTCATATTTAATTTCTTCTCATGAACATCCAGCACCATTTTTAAGGGGCCGCAGAACATAACATGTTCTCTGCAGCTGATGGCACTCATCATTGTAATTATTAAGTACCCCTAGCTGACTGTTTGAAGTTTTGCTGTAAATTCAAATCAGAATGTGAATGTTATTGGAAAACATGCGGTTATATTTGGAGAGTTTATTTGCTAATCAAGTGCAAATCACTGTCAAAATTATAGGAGTATGACAACCCATGCAAATTTATCTAATTGTTTTGTGCTGCTGTATGTATAAGTTGTACAGGGAATAAATTTTGCATTTGTTCATAGGCACAGAAGAAGCGGAAATCCAATGAATCTGTAGATACAGAGCTCTGTCTTAATGAGGTAAGAGTGTGGGTCCTGTATATTTCACAGCACAGGTATCTCCCCATAATATAAAACGTTCAAAGTCTGTCAAGATTATAATGGGCTTACCTCACATTAAAGTCTTGTTAGCTTTGTTATGTTTGGATACCATAATGTATTAAAGAATGATCTTACTCAGAAATCTGGATCTGGGCTCAAAGTGGCCTCTGCTGACTTTATATTTTAATAGCTGTGTAGTACATGTTTAGGCAGATCCCATGGTAATTACTGTTGCACCTAGCAAGTATAATTAGTTAATAATCTGCAGGAACACAAGATGATATGGCTTTTAACAAATGCAGAAGCATACTAGACATCATTCTGTGGCTAGCAAAAATGACCAATTTCGGGCGTGAGATGATACTCGTATCAGGAGACGTGATGCTCCTACATCAGGAGACAGACTGACAGCCCCAAGAGACATGAACCTCCTAGTGCTGTTTGAGTAGTCTGCTCAGCCTGACTTCCAAGGCCCCCTTTCAGACATAAACATTACATCAGTTTCCATGTCTGTCAGTCCATATCCTTTGTACTGAGTCTCTCAGGAAGCTTTATAATTAGTGATGTACATAAATTAATTTTTACAATGTGGAAGCACATAGCCTAGGCATTGGAGCAAGACCAGCTGTGCAGGCGTAAGCCACCAAAAGGATGTGACCGTATCTTTCAGGTTCTTCCTCACCAGTCCAGATTTGCCCAGTTCTTCTAAACAATGACAGTTCTGTAGCCCATTCCTAATTCTTTAGGTTCTATTAAGAATTTCCTGTGGATACTAGAATGAAGCCTAATAACATGTGAGGGAACAATGCAGATCTGTTGACGACTTGTGCTGGCTAAAAGACCCTACACAAGAAGGCCCTAGTAACTGTAGCTTACCGTAAGAACTGCTGGTCCATCTTATCCCATACTCTGTGACAGTTTCCAAAAAGCAGATGCCCAGGGCTGAGTATAAGAAAACATATTGTGATAATTCCTCCAATGCTTCTACTACCTCCAACAGTTTACATCTCGAGGCCTTCCAGTTAGCCAGTCCTAGCAGGTGATAGCAAAGCGAGGGAATGGCACGGGGATTTATCCATGAGTGCCTCCATGGCTCTGTAGACAGTCATTCATGTGGAAACTGGTGCTCTATTCTCAGTCTTTGTATCGGCTCGTCTGGGTACTTCCCAGAGTACAAACCTTGGCCCATTGCCTCTCCAGGAGGGGGGGAGGCTTGTCCCCTCTGTAGGGTCTGAGCGACTTTGCATGGAGTAGGTTGGACTTAATGACCTTAGAGGTCCCTTCTAGTCTAAATTGTTCTGATTCTGTGATTATACCTGTTTGTTTGTTTTTTTAAAATAAGGATGATAAGCAATCAGAAATATTCCTGTTGCACCTTCTCCTTAAATAGCTCACTATAATCTGCCAATCTGTACTTGCATATGCATGCAGTTTAATTATTGGTAGCAAACAAGACAAGGAATGTAAATAATGCAGCAATTAAGGGGAAAAAGGCATGAGAAAGATAATTTTTCATAAGCTAGAAACCTCTGTCTTTCCTGATCCCATGGATTAGATTTTATCTATTGTTATCCAGAAGTAACCTGTTATCAAACAAAGTTGTTCTGTTGACTGTGCAGGAGATGCAGTTTCTCTGCGGGTCCTGAATTTGCTTTTTAAAATAAACTGGCATGATAAACACAGATTGCTAAAAAAATTGCCATACTTAACAAGGGTAGGTTTACACATGGAACCACTGCTAAAGTAGGGATTTTTTAATACTTTCTTCTTGTTTTTCGAATTGTGCTGTACTGGTGTTTTTATCCCGTAAACTAACTTTAAAATACTGTCGTTTTAACATCTGTTTTTATGCCTTTTGTATCTTTCAATCTGTGACAGTGATATATAGGTAACAGTGGAGGGTGGGATGCAAACAAACAAAAGATGGATTTTGTGATGTAGATTTAAATATTTTGCAATGACAATGTGTAATGGTGACCAAGGAAAGTATTGTGTCTTGCAGAATGCTATTGGGAAAGACAACACAGCAGGAGTCTCCACCAGCCACATATCTTCGGAGAATTCGCTCGCTCTTCCTAGAAGCTTCTATCTAAGCACACCGCTCACTCTGATGACACTTGCACTCTCGCTCTGTTTGTTCCTAAGCTCATCAGTCGTTTTGTAGCTGCATTACAAAAGGACATGTTAAAAAAAAAAAAAAAAAAAATCTGTTTCCTGTCCTCTGTTGTTTATCTGGAATTCCAGGTCTGGGAGCTAAGCTGAGGCGCTCCTGCTAGAACAGTTTCAGTCAGCTGGAATTTTTTTTTTCTCTCTAAAAAAGCTTCTTGTGATACTTAGAGGCTTTGTGAAATACTTGGTGCAGTGCTACATTCCAAACCCAAAAAGCTTTTGGGCATGCAGTGTTTTAAGAGACAGAGTGTAAATTTGTCTGTAAAGCGACCTGGTTGGATTCTTTTAATAATTATTATTTTGATTCTGGCTTTTACCTGAGCAGGAGGATGGCAGTTTTCTTAAGATCCTATTTATCTCATTGAATGGTTTTGGTTTTCAAATTGATTGAACTTCAGACTATCAAGGATGCCAGGCTTTTGTCTAAAGGTGAATGTTCTCCCAGAGAGCAGACTTTATGAAACTTCTTCATTTGACAAATTGCTACTGCGCTACTGATGTTAAACTCTTTCAGTGTGTTAGCATTTTCCACTTTAAATGTTTACGTACTGTAAGTGATTCTGCGTTCCCTGCTGAGAAGCCATTATAATTTGCATACAGGTGTAATGTACATCTTTCAGTTAAATTCTCATAAAAATAGAATGTGGCATAGAACTTTCTAACAGTACATTTACCTTTTAATTGTAATCATCTAGCCTTAACAAGGGTGAAGATTCTTTAAATTAACAAGAGGCAGCCATTGTGAAAGCTTGATAAAGATACATTTCTTTAAATTTGAGGATAAGCAGTAGAAACAAATTTTGCTACAGGGTTTCAGCTGTACAGTCTATGGTCTTCTATGCTTCCATTGTGATAACATAGTCCAGCTATTATACTGTTTGTTTAATAAAAATTACATACAATTTATTTGCTCTACTAAAACAGCATTATCTGTTCATACATAGCTGATAATGTCAGGTCAAAAAAGTTACAGGAACTTCATGCCTTACTTCTCTTATCACAACATTGAAGAGAGAAAAGAGGTAGTAGGATATAATTTAAACTGTGTTTTATTTCTTAGGTTGCTAAAATCAACAGAAAAGGATGGTTGATCCAATTACAAGGCAGCGTCATGCCCACTCACCCATGTGACAGGCTTTTCTCACCCTGGTAGTTCCTACTGCAGACCTTGGCATTGCTGACATGATGAACCGTTTGCAAGACCAATTCCATAAGTTGTTTTAATGGTTTGGATGGCAATATTGCCAGTATACACGATTTGATCGCTTTGGTTTTCATTCAGTGACATTGACAGCCTGTGCTGGCTCATGATGATTTTCTGCGGTATCTAGAAGGAATTCTTTAAAGCTTTAAATGTCATCAAATAGGCAGCATTTCTCCTAAGGGCTGTCTTTATACCTTACTGTGATGGCTTGTTGACTGCTACAAGCAGTTATGTCTAAATGATCAACAGTAATCAGGTTTTGTTTCTATTGAAAGTAGAAGATAACTTCACCAAGCAAGGAGTTCATCATGTTGAATTTACAGATTTACACTGGGACTTACACAGTTATGCCCAGGCCTGCTCTGAAATGTCCAGATCAGTTATTTGCAATACAACTGTAAAGTACAAACGACTGTTTTATAAGCTGCAATGAAGTTTGTGAGTGTGCAAAATACACATTTTACTAAGAGATTACTAAACCTATTGACAAGTTCGTCTTTTGAGCTTTTTCTTAGCTAATAATAAACACTTTCATAAATTCTGAAATTCACTTATGTACTCTTGATTATGGTCAAATAATATAGGTTTCAAAGCACTGTGTATGTGATAGAATTCTAGGATACTCTGTGCCACTGAACATAATGAATTAGACAATATTACTCTTTAATTCTGTACTGATAAGAAACTGCAAATTACTTTCAAAGGCATCAGAGCTGCTTTCAGAGAAGAAATATATAGCACATCATTACCAGCAAAGCCCATGTGGTTCCTGTTGCTCTTCTTGTAGAAGCTAATCAAATTATTGAAAACTAGTGACAACAGAAAAAAGATTACGAGATTCATGATTTAAAAAATAAATTATTTTATGTCAAAGGGAGTTGATAATATAACCTATTGAAATGCTAATGAACATAGCATTATAATTCAAAAGTCTGACATTATCCAATTAAAAATATTTTCAAAACAAATTCATAAACATAACAATTATTAAATCCATCTTTGATCCACAAACCTTTCTTTAAAATATCATTTGTATTCAGCACATTAAACATTTTAAGCAGTATCAGGAATTTTAATAACCTCCCAGTATAGTACATACTTTTTGAAGATTTTTTACATTTTGTTTGATTACAGTATCTCTATTACATTGAATACCAATTATTAGAGCTTTGACACTGTGTGATCCAGAATAAAAGCTATTGATCGCTTATACTGTAAACAACAACCTAATTAGGTTCTGATTACAAAAGAAATTGCTAGTTATCTGATTCAATGAGAGTTACCTTTGGAAATACAATTATGTATGTAGTAGAGGAAGAAATGGCGTTTTATACAGCTAGCCATGTTACCAGAAACAAAACAGAGCACTCAAGCTTTTTTTCCTGTGTAAAATAAAAGCATGCTGAATTCTTAATTAAAAAACTACATTGTTTATTAAACAAGCAAGAGGGAAAAAAAACCCTAAGTCTGACACTTAATGAGGTTTTTACAGGCATCACCATGCAAATATTGGAGGATTTTTAGAAGTTGGATGTGGTGTGGATGATGTCAATTTAGCATGGTGACCTTGTCAATGCATTCATTTGCTACAGTACTGAAGTATGCAAATAGTTTAATTTTTTTCCCCTTTCAGTCACTAAAATGCCATGTGTTGAGTGCTCAATGAACAAGCTTAGGCTGGGTTTTATATATTTCTTTAATACATTAATTTTATCAATATAACAATAATATAGGAGCTCTCCAAATACCGGATGTACATACAGATGATCTACTGTTTAAATTGTAAATTTAACCAATTCAGTTGTGTGTAAATTAAATCATGGGCTACCGCAAATATATACAAATCATCTTTTTCATTTAACATAATGGAACAGACATTTGTCATTAGAATTATTAGGAGTGTGTATACTCTGCCATGTCAAATAACCTGATGATTGTGTTTATATTTCTTCTTAAAAGTAGTACACACAAAGATAAAACTCAGACTGAACGGAAATATACGGCTAAGGTTTTGCACTATTTAACGTAGATATTAATTCCACAAGCTAGTCCAATGAAAGAGGCACTGAAGATGAACCTTTCAGATATTAGTAAAAATAATAGCAGTTGAGGCTTTCCCCTGCCCTAGTGCAGGCAGTGACATCCACCAACGGGCAGCAGTCCTACAGGAGTGTCTGCGCAGTGATTTGGTCAGTAACGAGGAGTGCAGCCCTCGTTTCATTCACTCTGCTCTCTGAGATCACAGCTGCTTCAAGAGAATGGGGAGGGAGTCACCGAGCACGGAGCAGGAGCCGTCCATCCGTCTTCGCTGAGGCACTGGCTACTTTCCATTGAACAGCTTCATTCCCACTGTGTCATTAGGAAGACTTAGGAGGAACAGGAATTCTTAATCATTTCAAAGCATTGCATAGACAGACTCTGTCTGGAGACCTATTCCCAGCCTTTTCTTTTAATGAAATTATGTCCCTCTAAGACCCAACATTTTGAATATGAGGCTGTTCACAATTTGAGGGATGTTGCAGTTTGAATTAGTAGACTGAAAACATGAAAATATACACCTTTGCTAAGCCTGTGCAATTAGGCTGGAGATGAAGAAAACAGAGAAGGGATTACCTTGAAATCTCAATCTAATTTTAATTTGTGATTGTTGGCTTAATCACGACAATATTTCCATGGAGGAGAGATGGTGAGAAACCAGTGAAGGAGAAGAGCAAAACTCAGAACAGTTCCCTGAAGGGACATAAATTTTGTGTATGTCAAGTGACAGGAGTATCTCATACTTAGCACTGGGATTCATTGAAGTGAAAGAGCTGGATTCTGCTAGGGACAGCAGCTCCTTCAGAGCGAGCAGTAAAAGATGGAAGAACGACCAGTTATTTGTACAGCAATTATAACTTGCTTTTATAAAATGCAATTGATTGTCTTCAACACCAAGGTGGATCTACCTCACTGAAAAATATACGTTCACTGGCAGGCCTTCTGCATTAAAACTATTCTGGGCTAAGGAGGCCCCCAAGGTTGTTTTATGCCCATAAGGTTAGTGAGATTCTACCTGACGTCCCTGAAATCAAATAGAAATATGTTTGCTTCTGATGAACTTGGCAGAGAAATTAATCCAGTGACTTGTTAAATATTTCTCATCTTTAAATATTTGCTTTTTCTTACCAGCTCAGTTCCATCCTATGACATTTCAATTATTGGCTATTTCAGCTTCTCCTTTAACTTCGGAAGGTCATGTTCTCCGCACTCTTCAGTAATCCACTTTATAGATTTGCCTCAGTGTTGGGGTTTTTTTTAATTACAGCCTTTGCTTCTGAGAAAAAAAATGTGATCACGAATATGTCTCTACTGAACGACCAACACCTTTACAGGGGGAGGAAATTGCAAGTTCCTATTTTATCTGTTTAGCACTGATTTGACTAGAACAAGCTAAAACATGATGTTGCTATTCCCCAGATGGAATTTAAAATTTAGTTTGGTACTGAATAAGGAATAAAAGTTTTAAACTCCCACAATCTTTTAGCAATATTTAAATACTTCCAATGTATTTTCCAGTTGGAATTTCAGTCAAATAGATAAAGTCTATTATCTAGTAGTATTTTTTTCAAGAGTAAGAAGTTTCATTGGGAAATTTTGATGGGTGCATTTTTAAGGTAAAATAAGGGAGGGTGGTGAATTCCCATTTTTAACTCAATATTATCTTGACTTTCATACACCCTTTTTCCATGTTCTTTTCATCTGAGTATGTTTGCCTTCGGGGGGGGGTTATGCTTAATAGATACGTATTAGAT